GGCTGAGGGGCCGCCCCCGACCCGGCCCTGGCCTCTGCGCCGCGGCAGCACTTTTTGCACAGTCTGGGGCGGGGATCTCCAGCTCCCAGGTTCCCGTCCTGGCACCAGGGCCGCCCGTGGCCTTAATTCCTCAAAGCGGTCCTCCTTTTTCCATTCTCGGCAATAAACCTAGCCTAGTTTTGTAACTGCTCCGTCTCCGAGTGTGCGTGTGCGGCGGCGAAGCCCGCTGTGGCCACCGTCCCCGGGACGCGCGGCCTCAGTCTGGGCTGACGTTTCCCCCTGGTCCGTGACCCCCTCTGGGGCTGCTCGCCCCCTCCGCGTGGCCTCCGCTGGCCTGGGACCTCAGTTTCCCGGCCGAACAGCCCCTGTCCCTCGGCTTCCTCCCTGCTGTCTCGCGGCTTCTCCGCTCCCTAGTCCTTCCTCGATCACCTTCCCTTCCCCATTCGCGCACTCCCATTCGCTCACCCCACCCCCGCGACTCGGGCGGCGCCTGGCGAGGCGTGGGTGCGCGTTCCTGCGCGGGGCAGGGCGAGACCGCCAGCGGCCACGCCCCTCCAGCTCGGCCCTGCCTCTTTATCGTCCTCCCCACGGCCTGTGCCGCCCGGTGGCGCTGCTCGGGTCTCGGTAGACCAGAACCCAGCCTCCCCAGGGAGTCCACGTCGCCTTCCCTCCCCGCGGAGTGGACCCATCCTGGCACCCGAGGGGCGGACTCCGCAGGTCAGAAGGAGCTAGGGGCAGGTCCCGGGTCTCTTTTGGGCGGAGGGAACCAAGGGCTGCCTCTGTTCATCTTGAGACCCATGGTCCTCCCTCTGAGCGTTGTGTGTGCTGGGTGCTGGCGTCTGTATTGGGGCGTGAGGTCAGGATAGTGTGGGTGCGAGGGGTGTTGCATTGTGTGTGCGGTTGTTTTTTTTTTTTTGAATTGGAGGCTTACTCTGTTGCCCAGGCTGGAGTGCAGTGGCACTTTCGCTCACGGCCATGGCAGCCTCAACCTACTGGACTCAGGTGATCCTTCCGTCCTAGCCGTCCAAGTAGCTGGAACCACAGGCATGTGCCACCATCCCGGCTGATTTTTTTGATTTACTGTAGAGAAAAGTTCTTGCCATGTTGCTCAGGCTGGTCTCAATCGCCTGAGCTCAGGTAATTCTCTCGTCTTTGCCTCCCAAAGTGCTGGGATTACAGACTGAGACATTGTGCCCGGCTTTTCTTTTTCTTTTTTTTTTTTTTTTTGAGTTGGAGTCTTGCTCCGTCGCCCAGTCTGGAGTGCAGTGGCGTGCTCACCGCCACCCCAGCGTTGACCTGCTGGGCTCCAGTGATCCTTCCACCTCAGCCGTCCAAGTAGCTGGAACTACAGGCGCGGGCTACCATGCTGGGCTGATTTTTTGATATATTGTAGAGATGAGGTCTCCCCAGAGTTGCCCAGGCTGGTCTCAAACCCCTAGATTCAGGCAATCCTCTTGCCTCGGCCTCCCAAATTGCTGGGATCACAGGCTTGAGCCACCACACCCAGTTGTGTGTGCGTATTTTATGGGCCCGGAGATGGGTGGGGATCAGTTCCTATTCCTCAACTTAGGGTAGGTTGGTCTGCTGCTGTGCACTGGTCACAGGCCCACTCTCTAACCAGGATCCCAGAAGGGCCCCTCATGGTGGTAAGTGACACATACCCCACATGTGACAAGGGTCACTACCCATGACCACATCCCAGACCCACTTGGCCATAGCACTAGATTGCTGACTTAGCCATACACATGGGCACATGGTGTGGCGCAGACCAGATTGGGTATGGAGTGGTGGATAGTTTGAGGGCCTTCCCCAGATCTCTTCACCAGGCAAGATCCCTTCTAGACTCAGACCAGGAACCTCTCTTCCCCAGACCCCAGTAAGTGGGTCCCAGCAGATTCAGCCCTGTAGGATCCAGATAGGACTGAGTAGTCATATCCTTTAGGTTTCAGGGCCCCTCAGAATTCCCAGGTGAGACAGGACCAGCCATGCCTTATGTCCTTACTGATCCCACCAAGGTACCATTCTTAGCCCCTGAGCAGGAGAGGGGTGGACACTGGTCCTCAAGGAAGGAGTGGAAGCATAGTCACTGCAGGAAGTCCTGTTTGGGGGCTATAGGATGTTGGGTTCCTGGGCTCAGGCTGAGAAGCCGAGTTCTAGCTGAGATGGAGCCAGAAGGCATGTTTCCTTTATCCTCTCCTACCATCCCTGGACTCAGACCAGGTGTTTGCCAAGGTCTTTAGACAGGTTCCCAGCCTGTCCTTCATCATGAGTTGCATGGTGACCCTTCCAGCTTTGGCCAACTAGGGCCAGCTCTGTCACCTCCACCCCATTCGACACAGGAGGAAACTGGTCCAGCCCTGGAGTGAATCAGGATGGAGTGAGCCAGGAGGGAAGGACAGACTATCTCACCGGACTCCTGACATCAGGGCTGAGGCTCTTCCCCATAACCCTGCACATAGCCCCTTTTGGGGAAGCGGCCTCTCAGCTCCTCTGCCTAGGTGCTGCCTACGACACTCTGACCTCTTCTCAAAGAAGCACAGTTCTAGGGAGCACTACCTACCAGCAGAGCCATGCATCACAACTCCAGCAAAGGCATGGTCTATGTGGGTAAGCATCCCTTGATCCAGATCAGGCTGGAAGGTACCCCAAGTGGGCAGGTCACACCCAAGTTCAGTTATAGGCTCTGAAATCTCTGTTCCTTGTGCCCTGTCTGCACTGGGTTGGGGGGGACAACTGGCTTCCAAGCAGTTTTTACTTTCAGGTTTTTTTTTTGAGTTGGGATCTCACTCTGTCACCCAGGCTGTAGTGCAATGGCACAATCATGGCTCATCACAGCCCTGACCTCCTGGGCTCAGGTGATCCTTCTGCCTCAGTCTCCCAAGTAGCTGGGACTACAGACATGTGCCACCACACCTGGCTAATTTTTTTTGGTAAAGATGAGGTCTCACTATGTTGCTCAGGCTGGTCTCAAACTCCTGGGCTCAGACAATCCTTTTGCATCAGCTTCCCAAAGTGCTGGGATTGCAGGTGTGAGCCACCATGCCTGGCCTTCAGTTCAGCTTTATTTTGCAAAAAAAATTGTAAGACCTCCTGTAGAGACCCTGTGAGGACTACATGAATCAATGTGCTCTCACAGACCAAACTAGGAGGGAGAAACAGGACACACAGTTTAATGCAATGGTAGATAGGAGTTGCAAATGGAGCCACAAAAAGAAGAGATCAAGGAGGGCTTCCCAAAGTAGGAGATTCCTGCCCATTTGTCAGATGGAGAAGGTAGAACAGCAAAAGCAGAAGTCTGAAAGCTTGGGAGAACAGGGTTATCTGGAAAGGGCATGGTATCCAGAATGGCAAGCAAAGAGAAAGCTCTAGGAGTTGAGGATGGAAAGATGATGGGCCAGTTAATGATTAATGCCATAATATAAGCTTGGCTCTCTGTTCTTTCCTCCACAGATAAGACCCTGAGGGGGCAGGACAGGGACAGGGAAGGAGTATGGGTAGAGGCAGGGGGAACCCTGGCCCCCAATACCTCCTCCTCATCCCCCCCTGAGTATCCAGGGACCTCAGGCAGCTTCATCCCTGTCTACTGTGTCCTTCTGGCCACCGTGGTCCTCGGTCTGCTTGCCTACGTGGCCTTCAAGTGGTAGGTGGTCTGGGCGCTGCCCTATGGCACCCGCCCTTCCAATCTGGACTCCCAGCCTGCTCCCTCTCTGCCTTGGTGAGGGCGGGAGCGGGTTGGCAAGTCCTCCCTGCTCCCTACAGCTGGCGCTCACATAAGCAAAGACAGCAGCTGGTCAAAGCTCGGACTGCAGAGCTGGGGGGCCTCAGCAGGGACTCGATGCACAGGAATAGCAGTGTCTTCCCGGACTCTCCTAGTGGTCTGGAGCCCTGCGCCCCCTGCCAGGGTGAGCACCCTTCCCCAGTCTACAGTTCTTTAGCGCTACCTAGCACCACTCCACCACCCAGCCCTTGTGTGACCTCCGTGTCTCCTGCCCCAGGGCCGCATCCTGAGCTTGGCTGCCGACTTTCCCTTCATCTCCCTCGGCAGCAGCAAGAGAAAGTGGAGCAGCTCCTGGAGGTGTCAGGCGAACCTGGCAAGGGTTGGCGGAGCCTGGCAGGCCATCTGGGCTACCAGACTGAGGCTGTGGAGAGGATGGCCCGGGGCCATGTGCCAGGCTACACTTTGCTGAGGGACTGGGCCATCCAAGGCGGCAGCAGCGCCACCCTCAAGGTGCTAGAGGATGCCCTGACTGCCATGGGCCGTGAAGATGTGGTCCAGGCTCTGGGCCCCCCAGCTGAGGGCTGCTCCGTGGTGTGAGTGATGCCTCCATAGCCTGGCCTCTCGGGGAGCCTGCTCTGGTGCTCCCCACCACCCTGTCTCCTTATATACCTTTCCTTTCATGGGCTTCCTGTCATTGCTGGCCTTAGCCTGCTCTGTTTTGGGGAGGAATGCACAAGAACCATCCACCACTCTCTTCCTCTTGCCCTCTCATCCCCTCCAGGACAGGGACAGGATATGGCAGGGGAGTTGGCAATGCGAAATGATCCTGTCCTTCAGATCCTCACTCCACCTCCTCCTATTTAGCCTCAGCTGTTTTTTCTACTTTTGTATCCCATATTAAAGGACTTTGGATTTTTCTGCTGGCTCTATCTGGCTCCTTGGTCCTGTGAGACAGTTGGGTGGCTATGAGGCAGAGGCCCAGAAAAGGGCAGGGATTGGGGGAGGGAGCTTGAGTGTAGGAAGGCCCTTTCCAAGCAGCACTTGGAATGGCAGGCAGTGTGCTCCCATAGGAGATACATGGACTCTGAAGACACAGACTGGAATTAACATTGTGCCTTTGCCATTCACTGGTTATATCATGTTGGGAAGCTATTTTCCCTTGCTATTTTAGCAGCTTCCTTAGCTAGAGAACAGGAAATTAAAATGGCACATTTCTCCCATCCCTAAGACTTCCAGGTTGGTGCAGAGGAACCCTGGGTTTGAGATCATTTTCCTGACTTACGTTGTGACCAGTGTCTAGGGGAGGCTGGAGGCCTGCTCCTGTAGACAGGAGGCAAGAGGCGGGCTGGTCCTAAACAGTTAATCACCAAGATCCTAAGGTCACCTGTAGATGGAAAACAAGGAAAGGTTCTCCTTATAAAACCAAACTCAGGACAAAGAGTTACAAATATGCAGCTGCTGATGTGATTTATACACAAGTCAAGTGGGTCATCGTGGGCAACTCAGGGTAGGGCAGCTGCAGCAGCCAGACCACCTGCACTCCACCTATGTGCCCATCCTGAAGGGACAGCAGATAGGTGGGTTATTTTTGATGGAGGTGCTATAGCAGAGAGGCCCTGCCTAGGTTGTCATCATCCTGCCCTCTACCAGGACCCGGCTTCAGAGGCACAGCCATCCACACTAAGTAGACACGGGTTCCAGTTGTGGTCCAGTGGCTCCCAAGGTAATCCTGTCCCCTTGCTGAAATGAGATGCAGTGGGGATTGGCCACTCTGTGAGAACCTAACTCAGCACAGACTGCAGTTACTGCTACTCTCAGAAAATTTACAGTGTTGCTTGATGCCCTGTAAATCTTTCCCTTAAAATAAAGAAGAGAAGGAAATTTATAGCCACCTTCCTCCTGGGATGACCCTAGGGCAGTAACCCTGAAGGATCAGGAGAGAAAGCAGGGAGGGTGTGCAACCAGCTGCTGCAAACATCCCACCTCGCTTAAGCATGGAGGTTGCCACAGGGCTATTGATTGGGTTGGTAAGGAGTATAAAATCCTGCATTGAATGGCATGAACAGATTCTGGGTTAACTGACACCCCTTATCACCATCTAGGGGATGTGAGCCTGAAGGGTGTGGGAAAGGGGAACATTTTCCTTCTTTTTTTTTTTTTGAGTTGGAGTCTCACTGTTGCCCAGACTGGAGTACAGTGGCACACTCCCGGCCACTGCAGCCTCAACCTGCTGGGCTCTGGCGATCCTTCCGCCTCAGCCTTCCAAGTAGCTGGAACTACAGGCATGCACCACCACATCTGGCTAATTTTTTTTTAATTTATTGTAGAGATGAGGTCTCGCCGAGTTGCCCAGGCGGGTCTCGAACCCGTGGGCTCAGGCAATCCACTCACCTCAGCCTCCCAAAGCGCGGGATTACAGGCTGAGCCACCGAGCCTAGCGGGGAACATATTTTCTTAACAGAGAGGTAAATAACTGAGAATTCCTCTTCAATGATGTCTTATCTGAAAGCTTCCTGGTCACCATACTTTAATGGAAGGCTGCCTAAATATCTTTGGAAAATCTGGAACCTGGAGCCTTGAGTCAAAACCATGATTTTGACTTGTTTGCAAGTAGCAGTGCACTGCAAACCTACTCAAAAGAGAAACATCCCTTTTTAATGTGCTCAAGCATGTTAACTAAACCATTTCTCTGTAACAGACACAGCTCGAAAATGTTAAGAACTTAAGCAAATTACAATATCTCCATTGATATAATAATGTGCTTTAAACAGTTTTGAAGGCTGCAGGATTATGGGAAAACACTTTGCATCTATTGTAGCATGTCTAATGATTATGAGTTTAAAATAAGGATTTTTCTAACAATTCTTTGATACTAGAACATTAGATGGGTTCCCGAACCTCTCTGAGCCTTAGTTTCCTCATCAACAGTGCCAATTCCTGTGCCTTAGGACTGCAAGGATTAAATGAGCACAACCTGAGCTCTAAGTGCTCAGAACAGCACCTAGAAGTGCTCTATCTAGTGCATGCTGTAACTGCTGCCAGACATGCTAAAGATTTGCCACAGCCTACTCTTATTTCCTTCCCAAGGGCACCGCTGCAGTGAACAAAATAACCCTGGTGAGGAACAGACAGGACCAGCCTCTTTGCAAAGATGGGCCCAGTCAGGCCTGAAGCCCTTGGCCCTCCTCAATGCCTAGACAACTGGTCCAACAAGGGCAGGTGGTCCTTCACCAAGTCCTGCATCCTTCAGGAGATGTCCACACTCATCATAAGCTGTGTACTTTTCCTGGGGTTCTCTCCTGTCCTCCCACTAGTGTCCAAGCCCAGTGTTAGGGGACACAGTGGGAGGTCAAAGACCCCAAACATCAATGAACTTTCCAGTGGGCTCAGAAAAATCAAGTCTGGAGGGAAGAGGATTGATGCCTCTTTCCAGCCAGGAGGCATCAAGGGGGAAGATAATTTGACTTTCTCTTGATTGATTTATTAACCAAAGTAAAGAACCTAGGCCTTCAGCACCAAAGAAGGCCTAGGTTCTACTTTCTTTGCTCTAGAATGCATGTGTAAGTTGACCCAACCCCTGAGCACAGCCACAAGATCTCAAGCCTGCCAGTGTCAGTCACCTGGCAAAAGTGCCTCAGTGGGACCTGTGGGAAATAAATCCTGTGAGGAATAAACCCAATCGCAGTGATTAATCTTGATCTTCACAAACCTATGGCTTTTTCCCATGACATTGCTACCCATAAATATGCTTGAATAACTTTCAGGGAAGACACATGCCAAGTTCTTTAACTGATTTTATTTTTTACATAAAAAGTTCAGTAAAAATTGGATAAAGTAAAGTGATTTTAAGCAGTAAATCAATCTTATCAACATAGCACAAGGCTGGCCAAAACCACAAGGCAGCCTGCTTTGGAATATTTACATGATAACAAATTAAACCTTGCAGGAGAAATTAACCCATCCTTACAAAGTCTTCTGTGATCCTAGCATGTAGAGGCTAAAAGCAAAACAAAAACCAAACAGAAACCAGGAAAAAACAAACAAATTATTTTCAATATATTCACATATACATTAAAATATAATACAGATCGTCAGGGTAAGGGGTTGTGGGTAGGGATGCGCATGGGTCTGTGCGCTGACAGCACCACCAAGGAGGAGACCCAGGTTTGAGAGTGGGGTCAGGTCTAGCCAGGGTCATCCCTAAGCCCTTGCGCTTCTGATGGCTTCTAACCACACCCCAACAGCTCACATCTAGGGATTGTTTGTAGATGGAGCTCATTTTTGTGGCTTTCAGTTGACACCCGCAGGTTTGAATTCCCCCCATGGTGACGTGTCATCAGTAGCACAGCACTGACAGTGGGGTGGGGCAGAGAGGCCCACAGAATTTCTTCTTCCCAGAGTCTGTCCTACCTGATCACCCGTCCTCCCATCCTGGCCCCATAAGTCACTCTAATTCAGTGTCCTCTTTGGGTTTGTAAACAGCCCCAAACTTCTGCATGTACTTCTTAATGTACTCCTTGGTTTTGTGTTTCACATTCTCATTGCACTCCAGGTCTTCAGGATTCTTACAGTACTTCAGCTCCTTATTCATAACACCATGAGTCAGCTGTCCAAGGCAAAGGAAGAGAGACCACAGCCACCAATCAGAGTGGAAATGATTTGAAGGGGAGGAAGGCAGGGGTGGTAATCCAGCCTGAAGCTTCAGGGCCCCTCTCACTAGGAACGGAAGTCAGTAAGGGAGTAGTTGGGGCAGGCTGCCCCAACGCAGCTCTGACAAAAGAAGACACTCAGCTCTGATAAAAGTTTCTTAGAGAGCTACTGTTCAAGTAAGGTGCCCTACCTCCACCAAACCTTCCCTCCCTGTTCCTGGGTCCCACGCCCCGGCATGTGGCAAGAAACACCACACTTTCTATGATGAAAGGGGCTTTCTTAGGTCACAGTTTGCCCAGAACATCAACAGACCAGAAGCAAAGGGAGTACCTTGCGAGCTAGATGTTTGAAGTCTTCAGTTGTGGTAATTCTTCCCACTTTGCAGTCAGGTTTCCGGTAGGGGTTCAGGCACTGGACGATAAACTGGGACATCTACAGACAGAGAAAAGAGGACACACTTCTCAACAGTCCAGAGAGGGCAAGCAGTTACGCTGAGGAAATAACCAGAAAAGGTAGCAAGTAGAGCCAGCCAATCCTTCCCCTTTTCCTCTCTCAGGCTGGCTGGTTTGGAAGTGAAATGCCAGTAAGATAGAAGAGAAAAGGATACTGGTTCAGCCTTGAAGAGGGAAAGAGCTCCCTTAGATGGTTCAGCAAGCCTCACTTAGAATGGCATCTGGAGGGTCTCAGCAGCAGGACTTCACTACTTGAGTCCTACAGCAGTCCCAGGTTTCAGCCAATAAATTTTGTGTCATCTGCATATATAGACTGTGGCTGGGTTCTCTGGTCCCTGGAGACACAGTAAAGCACAGCAGTTGTTCCAGAGCTACTAGGAGGCTTAGCAACCCCAGAAATGGTAGGCATTCTGCCACCGAAGGTTACTTAGATTCTAGGTGCTCATCCAGAGCCATGTGAAGCAGATGGAAGCATGGTATGACAACCGGCAGAGG